GGTCTCATGTTTATACGTAGGTATTAATACGTAACATTTACAAGCACAAAACGTACACTTTTGTACGTTTTTATTCATGCTAAAACGTACAATTTAGACGTATTTCAACGTTTAAAACGTACAAATCGCTACGTACTTTTAGCTAAAAAACGTAAAAATATTTACGTATCTTTTATATCATTAAGATATTCGTATCAATGCATTATCATTTTATCAATAAGCGATTTAGATTAACCGTTACTGCTAAATTATTTACCTCCAACTCTCTTTGCAGAACACCCAATCCCTGTTCCCTGCATCTCCCTCCTGCATAATCTGTTTTTCTTTTTCTCCTTTCCCTGCATAATCTGGTTTTTTTTTTTTTTTTTTTTTTTTTTTCCTTGTAGCTGGAAATCGGCTCACAGACAATTTGCGGGTTAGAGCCTATATTTTATAATTCCAGTCTTGCTCGAGAACTCCGGTCTGACACACGCGGGTTTTTGCGTTATTTCCTTATCACTTCTCGCGTGTGTTTTGTTGTGAAACGTAGTTTGCGGACTAGAGTTGTTGGCGATTCTTCCTATGTAAAGTCATGCAATATGTAACCTCCTGTCGCCGATCCATCGTGCAATGTGAACACCGCAGCGACTGACTGCTACCTATTATTATTATTATTATTATTATTATTATTATTATTATTTTACAAGAGAACTTGCGAAGTCTTTATTTACTACTAATGTGTAAAATAGAAAAAAATAAGAATAGGCCTATATTCTATTCCATAACATTGTTAACCGGTTTTATTTATAACATCTGCTTTGCTTCTGTGAAAAGGAATAGATACATCAGCCTTAAACGTTGTCCATTCACTTCAGGTGTGCCTCATCACACGCCGCCAGACCTGGATTATTCTGCGCCCCTCCTCTCTCACACACCCACTCTTATTGGGAGCCTGGTGAAGGGCGGCGACTATAAGGGGACGGGGTGATGATGATAATTGCGGGGGAGGCAGCCGACTCCTCACAGCATCTAAAACAACTCTTAATCTATAACTAGCTAATTGAGGCATAATATTGGAATAGAGCAAAGACCCCAAAGGAAGGCTAAGGTAAATAATGTTAGCTGTTATCCGCACCAAGAAACCGAAGCTTTAGTTTATTTGTATTACAAAAATATATACCCAGGAATGTTATTTTTTTTTTACACGGACAAACTTAAATCAAAAACGAAGTAAAACATTGTAATGTATAAAGATGTCAAGGCTATTTACGGATGTTTAGACAAACATGAACTTTCCTAAAACAAGAAGAAACCCTAATTAACTAGTCAGACAGGCCACCCCTCCCCAGGTTCAATTTGTGAAGAAGTGAAGTGACATGTGGCCAAGTATGTGGCCTAAGCGCGAGCAATAACATTCGCAAGACTCAATTTTGCAACTTAAAAAAAAAAAAGTTAATTTTTTTTAGCAGCTTGTGCCCTCCCATGTTAGAGGTCCCCCTATCAAAAAGGAAAATGGTTTGGTCTCGTAGTCCGGCGCTGTTGGTTAAATTCAGTTTGTGGCACAGGAAAGGAGTCTTGCGTTGCAAAACATGAAGCCTAAATCAACTTTTTTATTCAACTCATCAGCTCATTAGTGGAGACTGCAAGACCTGAAGTGGGTGTGTCAGATATAGGGAGATATACAAAATGTGCAGTGCTGGGGGTACTTCATGGAGAGGTTCGAGAACCACTGCTCTAACTGAACTGTACTAAACCGTTCTCCAGGGTTTAGCTTTTGTCTCTAGCAAATATTGAAGGGTATTTGGTAAGATGTAAAGCTTTTAAATCTTGACTCATAGGTCACAAGTTGGCCCAATCACAAGACTCATGAGGACAGGAAATAGTTTTGTGCTTATTCAGAAATGGGGCTTGTGCGCCATCTAGTGGATTTGATGCTGGAACTTACTGTATGTGTTGGTTGCTCTCTTTTGTGCATTACTGTAAATATGGATTTTTTTTTTTTTTTTAATTCTGGTTTTATTAAAAGCACTTCGCTCATTATAGCGTTATACAAATACACGAACTAAAAATTAAGTTCGGATGTTAATTATTTGTGCCCACCAAAGCTGTGTTTTTATTAAGTTTTAAAATTTGTAATGTAAAATTACTCTTCATAACTTTTGTCTTAATGGGTTTCAAAGTTAAATTTTACTCCTGTGTTTTGAGTAATCATTACTCCAGCCTTCAGTGTCACATGATCCTTCAGAAATCTGCTTAACCATTGTGCTGCTTAATATTTGTGGAAATTTTTTATTTTTTTTAACTCAGATTTGGCCGCATTGGGCGTCTGGTGACCCGTGCAGTCATTACCTTAGACATAAACGCTACTGTTTATTTCTTGTGTTTGAACCTTTGCTTTCTCTCCTACTAGGCTCACCTTAAGGGTGGTGCCAAGAGGGTCATCATCTCTGCACCCAGTGCAGATGCCCCTATGTTTGTCATGGGTGTCAACCACGAGAAATATGATAATTCCCTTAAAGTTGTCAGGTAAGGATATACATTTGTATGGGGGGAATACTTCTGTTTTTTTGTGACCAGAAGGAGCAGCTATTTAAAATTTTAAAATAAATTGGTAAATTTTAGGTTTAAATCTAAGCTAATATTTTACAGTTTAAACTTTTTATATTCTGAATTCCAATCAGAATTATTGATTTTAAGTTTAAATATTTTAAGTTCAGTTTTTCAACTTAATTTTAATTTACATATACAACACTACAAATTAAATTTGCAGTACATATACAAATACTTTCAACTTATAAAATTTAATATTCAACTAATTTTACACGTAAATGACTCTCTATATACAGTACATGTGTTAATATTTTTTGCTTTGGGTTTTTTTTTTTTTTTTTTTGTCCCCTTTT